TGTTTGCATCTGCAGGAACGGTGCGAATTTGTAGGTGTTGCACGAGTTCGTCGATCTCGTGTCTTCGTCATTGTCGACGAGAGGAAGAATGGGTTTCACGCAACTGTTTCTCGAAGTTGCTGAACGCATGCTTTCCTTGAGCATCTTCATGGTGAAGGAATAGGTTGAGGGTAGTGAAAGCTATTGTGTTTGTTAACAAAATGCACTACGCTAAAAGCTAGTGTAAAGATCTTTCGAGTGTTTGAGTTTGAGAGAATGAAAGTTATGAGAGAGATTAGAAAGCTATGAAAACTAATCATACGAGAGAGATCATCATCAAGGGATCGTAGATCTGGTCTCCCGCGGGAGACTATAAAGTGTGATAGAGTAAGTTGCGGTAGTAATCCTACGTATCTCCACGATCCTAAAACGGAACGCGTGGAAGATTTGTCTAGCATGGATCTAGTAGCGCGGAAGTACTCCACGCTGGCTAAATATCTAGAGCGATGTTTCATCATCAACCTAGTCATACTAGAGCGGTCATTGAGAACCCTGTCTCAATAACTATTCACGAGAGACTCAGTCATGAGTCGAACTCAAACCCTATCTAGGATCGAGTCGCGAATAAGGCTAAGAGCCGTGTATTGCAAATATCTTGTTAAGCTAAATGAGTAATTTAAACCCTCGGTCGGTCAGGGTGTCACCTAACCGTTAACCGTCGTCAACCTCTGCTGCCGCCCGGCGCTGGGGTTATCCGAAAACGTCCGGACGGAGGCCGATTTGTCCGGAAAAAGTAGGGTACAGTACCATATCTAGGCACTGTCGTTCAAAAGGATAGAGGCCTCAGCTCTCGCAGATTCAACGTGAATATGCCCCTTAAATCCAGCAATACGGTTCGAATCGGTTTCAACGAATATATTCGAGGTTAGGGTTGAAATTAACACGTATGTCAGTATTTATTTATTTATTCCTATTTATTTATTTATTCCTCCGTTTTGTGGCTCGCACCTCCTCCGGATCCGTACGTGTCGATCGCATAATACCAACACCTTACATGTAACTCCTGGACGATGGCATTCAATCCATCACGGTTGCTTCTTCTTCCTCTTCAGGCACATCCTCCTCTTCCTCTTGTCCTTGATGTTGTGGTTGCCCACTACAATAAAGCTTCAGTAACTCTGGCAGCCTTGGGTATTCCTTCTCCAAAGGAGGCAGCGATGTGATTGATTTGAGATACACTGACCGACGCTCTTTGGCAATCTCCTGGTCAAGCTCCGACTTCTTCCTCTTGCAGCCTCTCTGCTTCTTTGCTTCCAAGGTCTCCTCTAGCTTCTGCTGGACTTCCTTCTTCTTGCCGGTGGCAGCATGCCGGAGGATATTGAGAGCCTTTTTGAAATCATCGCGATAGCACCTCAGCCTTGTGTTGTCGCGCTTGCCTTGTTGGTGGCACCTCTCCATGACTTCTTCCATATGGCTCTTCATGCCTCTGAGTCTCTCCAATGCCTCTTTGAGATGTTGCCATGAGTGTACTTTCATTGGAATGGTCGGCATCAATCGAAGCCACAAGGCGGTTGCCAAATCGATTGTCTTGTGAGCGTCGACAACATCTTCATCACTCATGCTTCCGTACGGTTGGTAACAGTAATGGGCTATCACGTCCATGTACTGGAAGAGCCTTTTGAATCCTTCGCAAAAGAGCTCCACTTTGGCAGGATCGGCTTTGAACTGGCTCCTCTCCTCCTCGGACAAGCTTGTCAGATGCTCCAACAAGAGTCGTTGTATGTCGTCCATTATTGGCACTGCTTCCCGGAGCAACCTTCTACACTAATTTCCTTCCATTGCTCCTCCATGGTAAGAGGATATGTGCACAATGTAATCCTTGTCAAGTTTCCTTTGGACGACCATCCACAGGCTTTGAGCCGCACGACCGTATTCCTTCTTGTTGTCCTCTAACTTTTTTAACGCTTTCTTTTTTGCCTTCAGCTGATCCGAAGCTTTCGAGTGCGCCTTGTGTGCTTCTTCAAACCAAGCCTTTGCCAGGTTGAGGTGTTCTTCGTGCCGAATGTAGTCTTGCTGATGCTCGGTATCTTCAAATTGGACGTCTGGATTCCCCACAAGCTCCGTCATCACGTTGTACATTTCATTCCAGTGTTCCTCCGCATCAACCTAGTCCTTCCACAGCCGACCAACCTCGAGTTCGGCATCCGCTTTGGCAAATCTGGCTTCCATCAAATTTACAGGCACATTCTCAAGCCGATACCAAACAATCTTCTGCAGGTAATTATATGGAGTGTTGACTAATAGAACAACAGAGTGGAGCGGTGGCGGCAGGTAGTTTGTTGGCTCGACGCAATCAAAGAGAGGTAAGGTCTTGATGCCCTTCTGCTGGATCGGATTTGTGCGCTTCAGTTCTTTCTTCTCTAGTTTGTTGTATCTTTTCCTCATCAGCCTCAGTGTCCATGCTCTGCCTTTCTTTGTAGGATCCGTTTGGAATTGAGTTCGCATCAATTGACACTCCCAGCTGTGTTGGCCCAACATATTCTCCTTGCCAAGAGCAAGAGCGTAAAAGGCTAAGTCTCCAGTAATATAGAGCTCGATTGGAAGGCCGCCAGGATGATCCATGAGTTTCTTCAATGATTCGTTGACGGCCTGTGAGATTCCGCTTGATAGAAACACTTCCCTCGTGTCTTTCAGGCAGTTGATCATTCCGATCAGTTCATGAGATTCTTTACGGACTCTTTTGCCTGCAATGAAAAGGATTGATACATGAACACGAAACGCTCCTTGGCCGTGGTCCGCAGAAAGAACAACATGGACGCAATCATCGGCTAGTGTGGCCTCCGACTTGATTTCTGCCCGGATCACATCTTCAGCCGACCGGACCCAAACAGTTCGATTGGTTTTCTCTTCGCGAAACCGAAGCAAGGTAGGTTGAACGGTGACCGTTGCTTCCAGTTTCCTTATTTGCCACTCTGGGTTAAGAGGATTGCATCCTTCTGTCATGAAAAAAGCTCTCATTCCTCTTACTTTTTCATAGGTTAGATTGAGCTGCTGACACATAGCAATCTGCCGATGTGGATCCATCTTTGGCACTGAAATATTTGAGGTCCGAATGATGTCCTCAAAGGCTTCCGGTTCATGCTCTTGATGCAATTTGGTTAGATGGAAGCAGCGGGCTCTCCTTGGGAAACTATCTCCGTAGACAATGGCCCCGTACACCGTCGGCAAGTACTTCCTCGCATTCTTAATGAAAGACTGTGGCGAATCGGCTGGAATGACGGGAACCAGATGCAGACCAAGTCCCCTGCTTCCACCGTACTTCTCCAGCTGAAGGATGCTGGCTGACGGTAATTCTTCATTGATTTGAAGTGCGATATGCAAAAAGCTCTGGATCGAGGACCGGCGCAGTGGACAGCAATGTTTATCAAGGAAAGGTGAATATTTTCCCAGGTCGATTCTGTTGGTCAAGTCATCGTCATTGCCGGCAAACAGCTTATTTCTTGCTTCGTTTGCCTCCTTCTGCAGACCTCTACCCATTTGTTGTATCTCAGATCTAAATTTACCTAAGTCGATGTCGAATTTAAGTAGCTTTGGATTATCAAGTTGCTCCGGATCAAGAATAGTCTCTAGCAAGTCCCAAATGTCACTATTACTCTCGTGCTTTATATCATTCTTTGCCGTCCTTGGGGGATCTTCGTTGGTTGGTGTTACAGTTGCCGGTGCTGCTCGCGTGGGCTGCTTCGTATCGACAACAAGAGTGTTGAGGAGGAAACTCTTCCTCCTACAGTAGGTTTCCCACCTACCAGCCAACAAGGCGTGCACTTCGGTTTGATTCCATCGTGTGAAATCTTCAGTTTTGATACCCTCAAATGAAACACAGAGGAATGCAATACTCTTCCTTGTGGCTCCAATCTTTATCTTCCTCTGATCAAAGTTAATGTAAGTGATGCTTCCATATCGAAGCTGGTCTTCCTGACGCAAAAACTCTCTACGAATTGCATGCCTTTCGAGCAGAGCACCTTTGAGAGCTTTCACGGTAAGTGTTTCTTCATTGTTGAATGCCCTGGTTATCTTGTGGACCCAATAACTCATTGGAATCCACTCTCCTTTAATACACTCATTTGTCGCCACAACAACAAAAGCTCGCTCTATCTCTTCAGCCGTAGGCATGGTTGTCGTCTGAATTTACAGGACCGGCTCGGAGAGGATGTTCTATGGGTATTGATGGAGGTTGCCTCTGCGTCGGTCCTCTAATTTCAACCAGGAGCTTGTTATCTCGACCTCGACAGCAGCAGCCTTTGTTGTTTGTTGTTGCTTGTTATCTCTGTGTTATCTCAGGAGGTACCCTCGAAACCAAGAGTTACCATTTGAATCCAAAATGTGAGCGGCAAATTTTACATACGTCACTGAAAAGAGTACAAAGCAACCTTGTACTGGAGAGTGTATGGCTGAACGACAGTGAGGTACCTGCAAGGCATTGGTCGCGTAGACAGCTTGGCGATGACGCTGTAGATGGTCACGTCCAAGATTTCGCCTTACCTTCGGCTGCTGTAGAAGTTTGCCGGGAGTGACTACTCGTAGTGCTCTAGCTAGCTAACAGCTGTACCGTATTGTCCCGGTACCTGGCACTGTGGCGACTAGTTTGATCTGCTGCTGGCTACCGGAAACCACCGGAAGCTCTAGAGCTACAGCTACATGTAGCTAGATTGGTTGGTGCTCTTCGTTGCTGCAACGCTATGTCACAAGAAAAGCTGGTGGCAACCCAAAGCTCGACCTCGTGGATCGATCTCACAGTTTGGGTGGACAAGATGAAAGCAGGTACCTGGTACTTTACCCTTACCGGTACATTGAAAGACAATCTTTCAGAGCAGCAGCAGCCCAATTTGCCTACGGTACGGTACCGGGGCAGTGTAGATGTGTAGATCCTCGCACTTCTACCAGTACCAGTACCTGGTACCGGTACCGTTCAAACGTCGTGCAATCTCAACAAGAACATGCCACCGGTAGCTCGGTGGGGCATTAGGGTCTTCAAATGCAATATTTTACTAATAAGAGATCTTTACTACACGTACTGTTCTGTTCAAGAACTGATCTTTGCGTTCGAGGAGGGCTCTCCCTCGACAGATTGCCAAACCTTGCTGGACTCAGCATACGACTGTATCATCCTCCCCGAGAGCTACTTTCTGTTTGATCGTTCGTGTCTTCACGCACGGGTTCGCCCAATGCTTGTGTTCGCGAGGATTTCTGTCTCCAGCAATCGTTGCATTTCCAACAGCTCGTTTTCGTTGCCTTCCACCAACTCCATATCGTTGTCCAAAAGCAGGGGAGAATTCGCTGACCCTTCCCCGTGAAATGGGATCGCCTGGAGAATCGCACTGTGCACCATGGCGACCTCAATCATGGTGACAGGAGCGGCTTCTTTGTCTTCTTCTCGTCCTTGGATATTTGGCAACGAGCTTCCTCCGACTGACACGGCAGATTGACGGTGAGTCCCAGGCGTAGCTGAACTCTCTTCTTCGAGGTTCGATCCTCCCGTGGCCGCACTCTGGCTGCCCGATGGAAGCCCAATCTCGATCGTCGAGCTAGCACGTGTTTCGTCCGGTGAGGATCGTCCCTCACCGCAGTTTCCTTGACCGGCCACCTGTGCCGTTTCTGTAGCAGCAACCGATTGCTGGTCTCCTCCTCCTCCGCCTTCTTCGTCGTCGTCGTTGTTGTTGCCAACTGCTGCTAGGCTCTGGAGAATTGCCTCTTGGGCGTCTGGGTCGCGTTCATCATCTGGCACGCCACGACCATCATTGGTGGTTCCTGGATTGAGATCAGCGAGGCTGAGAAGAAGGGCGTTTTGCGTATCCGGGTCGTTCTCGACGAGACGAAAATCACCAAGATCCGTCCCAGTTGTTGGAATGGTTGTGGTCGCCGCTGCCGCTGCAGTGTTGCGGCGGACCGCAGAAGGAGTGTTGACAATACCGGTACTCGTAGCTGTTGTTGTAGGCAAAGAAGCCACAGCGTTGGTTTCCATTCGTGCTTCTGCGACGGACGACAAAGCTGGAGGATCCACCGGAGCATCTTCGGTCCTTGCTCGTTTCGCGCGTGGTTCGCCATTGCCTTCGAGCATGGCAATGGCAGTGTAGAGACATTCTGGTGCTGTGCCATTGGTACGAAATCCTCGAGCTCCACAAAGCGGG